CGTTTTCCCGGCATGCATCACTTAGTTTAACTGGCAAAGCCTGCGATAGTACCGTCGTTCCTTCTTACCGATTCCAAAGTTTTGCCTGGAACATCCCTTAGTAAAACACAAGAATACTGGTTTACTGTAAATGAAAACAAAATAAAGGGATTTCTTACCTGGTTCGTATGTCATTCTTTGGTGTAGTCTATCAAGGTAATCCATTGGGTATTCGTAGGGCTTGGGATCGTCATTTGCAACCTCAGCATATGTGCCCAGTACGACAGATGCATAAACTGTCGTCATAAGTGCAACAGTCTAGAACAAAATCCACATTTGTATCATCACCAACAGATAATTATCTGTTGGGATAATGATGGTTTAGGTATTCGTGTATCAGGCCGTGGAGACCAACAGGGTTGTGAGGCCTCGAGGCTCCCATATTTTCTAGTCAACAGGCTTAAAAATGGCAGTGAGGTCAGCCTTACGTGTTGGCCAGAGTTTACACGCAGGAAGATTCCTGGTATTAACTTCTCTTGGAGGCTAATTCGACCCCAGAGCCATAGTGGAGCTGGAAGGATTAGGTCACTTGAAAAATCCAATGCCCTCAGCGGGAATCATACCCACGACCTTTCGGCTTGTAGTACCTCAACCAACTATGCTACCGCATAGCCCCATCACCTTCAGATGTGAACATGAAGTATCATATTCTCGTATTCATGTTATGACATTATTACATTTCAATGTAGGTCACCATAATGCCATCAAAATAAAATTCTGTTTACGCAATTTAAAATATTATTAGCAAACCCAACACGTACGAACACTACCCATCTCATCCTCTTTAACCTATCGCCTTAATGAGGTTTGTTTTATCACTGAAATACGTGTATGTATCAGATTTAAGATACTTGCTTATTCAAAATTTCAGCAAGAATTCTTAATATACTCGTATATCCAAACGCACACATTATGGGCAATTTACATTATCCCACTGCCGGTTAAAACATTTCGAAAGCTGACTTTGTTTCCGTCATCAGGTGAAAATATGACACTTTCTGGAATCAATACGATTACGTTTCGTAATTTTTCATGTAAAGATCTGAAGCCTTCAAGACGGTCTAAGTTGACGAACTCTTCTCGGGTTTTCAGCTGTGTCAGTTGGTTACGAATTATCTCTGCCCCTCTTACCCGGGTCTGATTTGTGATGCTTCAGGCCCTGATGGCGGCGGCAGGGATGGTCCCTGAAACGTTGGTAATTTTGAAACAACTGACAGAGCTGATAGTCCTAAAAGATTCTATCAATTTTTACCTGTTGGCGAAAGCAGTATTTTCTAAACTGCAGTTTTTCTTTAATTAAACATAGGTAAAAAGGTAAAGCTATCCCTGTGCCTGGCCGTGGAGGCCCATTGGGTTGTGAGACGTTGGGTGTTCCACATTATCTAGACAAACAGGTCACAGATGGCGGTAAGGTTGTCAGCCTTACTCGCCGGCCGCCATTTAACCCCCCCCCCCCCAGGAATATTCCAGGTACTCATTTCTATTAGAGGCGGAGTCGACCCCAGGGCCATATTGCGGCTGCAAGGATTGGGTCAATTGAAAAAAAAAATCCATTTCATCGGGACTCGAACCCGCGACCTTCCGGCTTGTAGCATTGTGCCCCAATTAAAAATAGGTCGATGGGAAATGTCTAGTTATGTGTCAGTTCAGTCTTATCATGTAAACTTGTAGTTTATGATGCCGTATAGTTTGGTAGGTGGGTAGCACTGTTTCGGAGGAACATGATGTCTCCATCTTCAGGACACAAGAAGTTAAAGGTGAATATGGTGGCAATTTCTTCGAATTGTTGTTACCGACCTACCAGGAGTTATAACCTGGATGACTACAATATGAATGTTTATAGCCGTGAAGACTTGAATCTGTTGACAGGTCAGTCGTTAGGTTCCCAGACGAAAACTCGCCCGTTGTTACTTACGAGCAGGAACACGGCTATGATGACGGTTCCTGTCCGGAGGGAACACCCGCAGCAACACTGGTTCAGTAGCAACGTCATTCTGTAAAGACAGGAATGAATTAGTCTTAATTGCGTGAGGCTTTTCACGTTAATTACTGGCATCATACCAACTATTGTACACTCTCATGCAACTGTCTGTATGTAGCACAGACGGGGCCACAATGAGCTTCCTAGCTCACGTGTTGTCCTTGTGCTTGCTTAATTAATTAAGCACTATGCTATGAAGATACTTGTCGGGGAGTGACACCGGTACTAGAGAGAGGTGAATGGTAAGCGTCAAGCTCCGGCCTCTTTACCACCTAGGAAAAGAGACCCTGATACCCATTGGATAGGTGGCTTGGGTAGGTCTCGCAGCCCGTCTGGACGCTATGGAGATGTTAACCCTACCGCGAATCCAACGCCAGGCGGCGAACCCGTGGCCCATCGCTTAACTGGCTCCTCCTCACCTACACGGATAAATATTCTGATCATCAAATTCAAGTGTGTATTATTTGTTTTAAATAACGGAAATTTGTAACGTATTTGTAAATTATTAACTTACAGGCTTCACAACTAAGAATCTGCATGAAATCTCCATGTTCTACAACTGACTGAGAGCCTAAGATTTTTTTTTGAATTCTAGATGTCGTAACCATCACTCATGGTTTACAATAACAACGCTGCCAGTAGCTCAGAATATACAGCGTGGAATGACTTGTGAATAATGAATTTTAAAGGTGGGGGTGGGGGGAGTCGGTGGAGGTCTAATCTGATGCACTACCAAGACATCTGTTTTGAAGAGTGACCTTGCGTCTATGTCCTAGCTGTGTTTCTTACCAGGAATTTTCCTGGTACTCATTTCTGTCAGACTTAGTGAACCCCAAGGTCACAGTGAGGCTGGAAGCCTAATCTGATGCACTACCAAGACATCTGTTTTGAAGAGTGACCTTGCGTCTATGTCCTAGCTGTGTTTCTTACCAGGAATTTTCCTGGTACTCATTTCTGTCAGACTTAGTGAACCCCAAGGTCACAGTGAGGCTGGAAGGATTAGATTGGGGAAGGAAAAAAAACAATGACATCATTAATCGAACCCGCGACCCTCCGGCTTGTAACAAAGTGCCTCAACAAACTACGCTACAGCTTGACCCCAAATACGGCCCACTTCTCAAATTAAGGCCCGTAGCCAACTTCACTGCAGTCGACATCTCCACGTTAACAGTATCACTCGATATGGTTTGCCTTGTCTAAAACAATTCCGAGGCCACATTAGTCCTGGAACTGCAAAAAATTGTGCAGTCAACGAAATCTCCAATATGAAGATATCTGTGCCCATCTCATCGGTGCAATGATGACGTAAGTGTCTGAGTTACTGCCTGATGATGCAACCTTAAAAATATTCCATGGGCACACAATATAGTTCACGGAATTTTTCCTCGTTGTGCAACACTTCCTCTTACACTGCTTATTTCCGTTAGCTTTACTACTTCAAGTGTGTTCCGAATGCTTTGTTCAGCAAAACGCTAATTAATTGCGGACTGCATGCAGTGTAATGATTGTATTTGCTAGTAGTTTTACCAAACGAGACTTGTCTTCGAAGTGAATTAACAACCTGGTAAATCGGGAAATAAAATCGGTTTCCTTCTTACTTATTATCCCCTAAACGCTTCGAAATTAACACACACGTCATGACTTATTCCTTCCNCAATCGCTCTTCCAGTCCCTGACCTCTTGTTCAGTTCTATAACAATTTTTCACAGACGGTAGGACTCCTTGGACGGGATCAGCCCGTCGCAAGGCCTCTATCTAAACACAGGGCAACAAAAATACAGAACAAACGCACACATACACCAAACATGTATGCTTAATTTGTATTCGAACCCACGATCCAAGCGTCCGAGCGAGCGAAGACAGCTCACGCCTTAGACCGGGCGGCTACTTTGACCGACATGAAATATTTCATGGCTACATAGAACTACAAGTTACTTTAGCGATGTACTTCTTTTTTTATGGAACCCAACAGTTCATTACCATGTGCAGTGTACTGGATTCTGTACCGAATTAAATGAATCCCAGTCCAAACACTTCCCCAATTCTCCCCGACAAATGCTACATTCACCGGCCACCTTATCCTCCTTCACTTGGTAATAAAATACAGCGAAGAGTACAGACAACAGTACTCACATGGTTTTCTCCAGACTCCCTGTTGCTTCCTCTTAGATCCAAATATTCTTGTCACAATCCAGAAGAAATTTCAAATGCACAACTGCCCTCGGATGTCTGAGGAATATTTAGTTCAAGACCCTCGGCTGTTTAATGCAATTCTAAATCTCTTCGCGCTATCGCAAGTTTCTAACACGTCTATCCGTTTCATTATTGCACTTCCATCTTCTTCTCGATCTTCGAAATACCCACTTTCCTACACCTTTCGGCACCAAAATCATTAATGCATTTTATATTTCCTCAACCTATCGTTCACACTGCAATATTTCGTTCTCCGTCTTCCAAATTATCACTTTTCTACATGTTTCAGCACCAAAATCATTAATGCATTTCATATTTCCTCAACCTACCGTTCACACTGCAACATTTTACCATCGATTCGTCAGTAATTCAAACTGAGATCTGAAGATTATTAACTTCATATTTCGAATAATATTTTTAATTATTTATCTGCTTCGTTATCTTTCGTTCAACAACCTTCCTGAATCCTTGAATATCTGTTAAAACACTTTCTTCCCCGAGAATAAACGGCCAATTTTAGTACAGAAATTAAAATTGTTCTTAATTCTACTTCGGTTCCATACATAATTATATCACACCGTACCTTGGGAACACAGCCTTTCAGGCAAGGCGTGTCAAATGATATGAACTTCCTCAAAGTGCTTCGTCTGTCTTTTATTAGAAAACTTAATTGAGGCCTTGGTACTCAAGTATCCGATTAGTACTTTCTTCCTTTAAAATAGAAGATACATTTTCAACAAAAACAATCCTAATATTTACGTATATTTGCTCATTCCCAAATCTGCCCAAATTGATGAATAATTATATAACAACGTACCTTCTGTATGCTACAACACAACACGCAACCTTCTCCTCTGAATGAGCTGGCTGAACTACAATCCGAGTACAGCAGAAACGTTCAACACGACCTTGGCGAGTGGTAGCAAAAATCCGAAGATCGGCAACATCGTACGACTCGGCTAAGGAGAAGAGACATTGTAATGGAAGCGAAGCGGTTAGATTGAAAAGGGAACAAGTCCCCCATTTACAGTAAAACTAATTAAATTATGTATTTAATTTCGATTCATTTAACGAAGCTTTGAATAGTTAACGTTACGTAGCGTCGAAGGAAATGACAATATTGAACATTCCTGAATGGAGAGAGAAACTAATAAAAATGCCGCGTGTGGCCCGCGGGCCGTAGTTTGGAGACCCTTGATCTAGACAATCTGCTCTAAGATGGCGGTAAGGTTGTCAGCCTTACGCGCCGGCCGCGCTTTACTCCCCAGGAAAATTAATTAATTAATTCCTGGTACTAATTTCTGTTAAGCTGGGTCCAGACTTGTTGTGTATCGTCCGATGCAACGCGACAAAATTTTGCGTCCAGACTTGTTGCGTATCAACCGATGCAACGCGATAAAATTTCTCCTTGGCAACGAAGAAATGAATCTGAGTATCGAGCCGGATTTCAGTCAGCAATGACTACACCCAACCTGACGTTAGCAGCGGCCGCGTACAGCTATCTTCACTATGCTATAAAGGGAAGAAGAACAAAATCACGACGTTTGTGGATATCACCGATCTATGCCAGGAGGGAAGAATACAATGGGTCCAATCTTTTGGCGGACTTAAATTTTCAGTCAGTCAGTGGGATGTACAAAAATTTCACAAGGATGCATCCGTCAGAGTGTAATGTTCTGTGTTTCGGGGATTCCAAATAACATCCCTCTTTTTATATTCATCAATTAAATATATAATGCTCTCTTTACTCCACTCCATTCAGAGTATATAAACAGAGAATTAACAAACAGAAGAACGCACACTGGTGATGACTTCACTCCAACTGTCTGGAGCTGATAAGCAAAGCGGGATGCAGCCGCATGCACGTCCAGACTGGCACCACTGCAACCCGAGTCGTCCCTTTGATGCGACGAGAAAAGACCGCCAAGTGAGCGAACAGCCCGTTGCGTATCATTTTCCAACGGAAGGATGATACGGGGATATGGAACAAGTCTGGACCCGGCTTTAGAGGCTGAGTAAACCCCAGGGCCTAGTGCGGCTGGTGATGAGTAATTTCCCGGAGCAGTCGATGGAAAGAAATCTGACAGGGAAACCCGAAGTAATCGGGGTAAACCCATTCAGTGTCGCTTTGCCACTACAAACCCCCCAACAAATGGGGTGGGATCGAACCAGGGCCACCGTGTTGGGAAGTCGGCTCCTCAATTATCCTCCCGAGGCTGAGTGGACCCCGTTTCAGACCCACTAATTCTCAGAAAATATGGCAGCGCCTGGAATCAAACCCGGGCCTCTGGATCTGTAGCCAGGAACTCTGACCACGAGACTACAGAAGTGGTCAGAGCCCCACATGCACCCAAGAAAATTAACAGCTTCACGGAGCTGAGTGCTTGAGAAATTGCCCGTCTCTCAGATACTAAACAATTTGCCAGCATTTTAAGGAACCCTAAGGTTCATTACCGTGTTCACAAGAGCCCGCCACTGGTCCCTATCCCGAACCAGATGAATTCAGTCAATACTACCCAATCCCATTTTTATAATATAAATTTTATCATTATCCTGCCACTAATTCTTGTTCCTCCAAATGGATTTTCCTCTCTGAGCTTTCCATCAAAGTCCTATATGCATTTATCTTTGCCTCCATGCCTATTACATGCCCTGCCCATCTTTTTTCTTTGACTTTAGCCTTCTAGTTACATTGAAGCTCCTCATTATGCAAATTTATAACAACAGCAGAGAAAGAACTCAAATGTGAAAGAACTTTACAATTTACTACATTAGAGCACTTAAATTGTTTAACGGCCGAGCGGTCTAAATCATGAACTATCTTCACCCGAACGAGCACTGGGATCGTGGGTTCGAATGTCACTCGAAGCATGGATGTCTGTGTACGTTTAGTCTGTATTTCTGCTGTCCTGTATAGGTAGTGGCCTTGAGACGGGCTGATCCCCCGTCCAAGGGGTCCTATTGACTGTATAGGATTACGAAACTGGGAAAAAGCGGCCAGTGCCCAACAAAGGACTGTAGAGCTATTATTGAATTACTGAAACTGTTTAATGAAATAAAAGAGAAAATGACCCTCCCCTTCTACTCTTACTTTCTCTCACTAGTCAACATTTGAATGCGAAGCACAAACGTATGAATGATTATACGAGTTTATGTACGCACATTTCACCGAGCAAGTAAAGTTTATGTGCTTATTAAGGAAGTGACGAGTTCGAATCTCCGCCGGAACACATTCTGTTCTGAGAAGGGGATTTGTGGTTTTCTTCATTGCCTCTAAGCAAATTCCGGGACATCTCACACCAGGCCACAACCGCTTCCGTTCACAGTTTCTTCTGGTTCCTTAATCCTGCTATCACGTGTTAATGACTGGAGACGGGGTTCGGTTTGGTGACTGAATTTACTGAATTCTTACAAATCGTAACTGTACGTAATTGTAACGCTGACACCAATTCATGCACTTTCTTATCACTAAGCACACGCTAAATCTTCTTAGTTTGTTTTCACCAGCCGTTGCCTGGTAACGGATCGCAATAATGTCTCCTCCTTTCATGCTCACGTCCTTACCGTCTAGCGACTGTCTCACAGTTAACTCATTGCTCCAACTGTCGCATCTCAACTAACTCGTGGAATCAATGGATATCACTGACTACTCACTGGTCATTCCTGGCACTGACCTTATGGAAAACACAGCGTTGCGTAGAATTCGCCCAACAATTCCTTTATTGTGGCTTGTTGATTCGTGGTTGCGGAACTGTTTCTACCCAGCAGTTTCTTAGCAACGGCTGTTTCTAACAAGTAACCATGTTATCATTCGGCGCTATAATCTGAGCTACTGACGTCGTGAAATCAACAATAAATAAGTAAAATATATTGATTTTAGACCGTTATAGTTGTCAATTGTTGATATCAATTCAGTTCTTGGGTTGTTACAACGTGTGGATACGGGCCCCTCTCCTCCCCCATTGTTTTCTTCGAAATACTGGATCTCATATACATACAAAAAATCACCGAACTTATACACTTCGATCCTGAAGATGGAGGTAGCATATACATCCGAAACGTCGGCAACATTGCCCTAATCTACACGGTGTAACAACTCAAGGCCAGATCTAACATAATAGTATGTACACGTATGTATGTATGTATGTATGAAGGTGTAGGTGTTTATGTGCTTGTGTATATGTATGAAACGTAGCCCTGTAGATATATGAGGTACCTGGCGCAATGGCTTTAAGAGGTATCAGCTGTCTTACTAACATGCACAGTGCGTAATTATGCGATTTCAAATTTCCGTAACTCTGTTATCAAATTAATGTAAGCACGTTCAAAAATACACAATGCACACAGTGCAAGATTTTAAGGTGTGTTAGATGTTCACATAAGATATATTTACATACATATATAAAATATCATAAGGTTCGTTATAGATATTTAAATAAGTTACATGATGCAATATTTTGCTTAATAAAGTCAGTGATGGTCTTTCCTGTGGGGTAGTTTACGACGCTGATAAGAGTTAGACTACACAGCGTCGAATTTTATGATGACTGATGATTGGCCGTTCACAGTGACTGAGCGGTCAAAGGCATGGACTGTCTTCAGCCGCTCCAACACTGAGGTCGTGGGTACGAATCCTATTCGAGGCGTGGATATTTGTATGCGTTTACTCTGTTTATATTGTTCTGTCTGTTGGTAGCGGCCTTGCGACTGGCTGATCCCCCGTCCAGGCAGACCTACCGACTGTGTATGGATTAAGAAATTGAAAAAGCGACTAGAGCCCAAGAAAGGGCTGTAGAGCCACTGATGAATGAATTATGCATGACAAAGAATTTGGAAGGATTTAGAATGACGCGGCCGTGGTCTAATAGGGGTACTATCCCAGCACTTTCCTGGAGAGACTGAGGAAAATGACGAAAAATTTCAATCAGGATAGATGATGTCCGAAACAGGAGTGACCCGAGAACATCCCGAATACAAGTCGAGATATTTACGGCTAGTCCACCTCTTTCAGTTCAATGGCCACAACTGGATGCTCTCATGAAAGACACTAGGGCAAAAGAGCAGTCCTTACTCAGTATTTTTTTTTATTGCTGGTGGGGTGGGACTAAGTCCTTTGTACTGCGGCCACATCTGGCCTATTGTACCAGCCCTAGATGATAGGTGGGGGTGATTGTGGAGCAATTGGTGGAATGAAGATTGGCAGGGGAAACCGAAGTACTCGGAGGAAACCTGCCCAGCGCCACTTTGTCCACCACAAATCCCACTTGACCAGACCCGGGATCGAACCCGGGCCGCCACGGTGGGAAACCAGCGACTAACCGCTTGAACTATGGCGCGGCCCTCTTTACTCAGTAAGTAAGTCTCTATAGTGTTCAGTAACATGGCGAAATAACTGCTATTATGTGTATGTATCCTTTGATCTGTGGCGGGGGCTTATCGATTCAAAAGTTTGTTCGCACTAACGAGTTTTTGGTTCTCATAGCATGCGCATTCCCGTCCCATACAATGGAAATGCTATGGTCCCAGTCAGTGAATCTAAACTGTTCCATGTACTTCCAGCTAAAATTTCCTCATGCACAGTCCATAATTCCGGTCTTTAGACACTGTACCAAGGTCACGTACAGTCTCAGCGCCAAATAAGCGTTCAGGTCAAAACCAGCAACACCACAAACATTTTTCAAAACGAATAGCTGAAACACCGTACGATTTGAGATTTTCACAGCGGGTGTCATGAAGAGTTATTGTATCTTCTGGGATATAACGTCGTTGTAGTCCCGCGACGTTTCGGAGGAACATGTCGCCTTCATCTTCAGACCTGAAGAGTAAGTCAGGCAAGAAACCAGCATGAAGCAAGGAACGAAGACCTATGTTAAGATCTGGATCTTCCATGGCGAATACATGTGTTATTTTTTATGTATTTATTTCTTTCGCGATCGGCAGTGTCAATGTTGAACTAAGAACAAGCGCTTCAGAGATCCCCTCAATCTCCTTCACGAGTGACGGTGTTGAGCGCAATTTCCTTGCCGGAAACCCGGAGTTATATACAGTTCGTATTGGATCTCGCTGTCTCTCAGGGCGAGCCAATGGGAAGTGAGGAATTGCCTTGCAGTTCCCTCTTGTGTTCTAATTATCCTTATATTTTCCTCAAGCGAATTTCATTGCTCGCTTCCTGATTCATGTTGGTTCACTGTTTGGCTTACATTTCATCCCATGAATATATGGACGACATATTCGGTTAACTTCCACCAGAGTACATGGCGCTACATACCGAAAGATACAATTCTTCAGACGAACTGTAGCTTTCTTCAGTTTCCTCGCAAGTATCCAGATTCAAACCAAGGAACATCCAAACGATAATTTTCTTCTACACGTTAATTTAACGGGGCACGCGGTAGCGTAGCTGGTTGAGGCACTATGCTACAAGCCGGAAGGTCGCGGGTTCGAGTCCTGATGATGTGGATTTTTTTCAAATGACCTAATCCTTCCAGCCGCACTATGACCATGGAGTCGACCCGGCCTCTAACAGAAATGATGTAGCTAAGAAGAGTCCAGGAGAGTTTTTAATTGAGTTCCCAGGTTCCATGCTGATTGAACAAGAAATGGCAAGATCTCATAGTGGTTTGAAGTGACAGTTTCTGTGTTGGAATCCGTTGCCAGGAGACGAGTAGTGAACACGGTGAAGCCCAGTGGGTGTGCAATGGCGAACTACAAATTGTGTAAAACAGCGACAGCCCTGTATTAAATCTAGTTATGAGAGATTGTAACCGAAGTGCCAATAAATTCAATCATTCGAAGTAGAACCCATTATTTTCGTTACGCCTAACTCCTTACACGTGACAGTATGTATGTATGCACGTATGGCATTGCAAAGTATTTGTAAAATATTAGAGGCACGAGTTACCGTAGTTGGTTGAGGCACTATGCTACAAGCCGGAAGGTCGCGGGTTCAATTCTCGATGAGGTAACTGAAATTTTCAATTGACCTGATCTTCCCAGCCGCACTATGGCCCTGGGGTCGACTCAGCCTCTAACAGAAATGACTGCCAGCAATCTTCCTTTAGGTTGAGCAATAAAGTCTAGCATCAATTGTGTTTAAGAGCATCGACGCTGGTTGATTCTCTACTCACGTTCCTACTTTTAACCAATTTACTTATTGCTCCTTGCTGTAGTGAGTAGATTGTAAATTCGCAGAGAAATAAATAATAATAATAATAAAAAAGGAATCTTCCTGGGGGTAATGGGCGGCCGGCGCGTAAGGATAACAACCTCACCGCCATCTGTAAGCCGATTGTCTGGAAAATGTGGGAGCCTCGACCTCATTGCTAGTACGTTTTTCTTCCATTTCGGTGGGGGCTGACCCCTCACAATGTCCAGTTTCTTATTTCTCGTAACCCGCTGGACATCCCTACTGCTCGTTTCCCGATCTCCAGCCCTAGGGTCTCCCTGAGGGTCTTGAATTCTCTCTTGCTTCGTAGGTGCCGTCTCTGACCTGATTCCTTATGCCATTTTTGCATTCCGGTTTCGGTTATGCCTCCTTCCGAACGTCCGTCTTCTCCAGGTTCCTCGTACCACGTTGGCCCTGGTCCGGTTTTTCCCCGTCACGTTTCCTTTGTGCCATGACACTTTTGCACGGTGGGTCGTTGTTCTGCTGGCGGCGATCAGTTTCTCCTGTGATCAACAACTTCCTCTGGTCCGCTCTTTTGTCTTCTGGCGGCGCTCCGCGGCCAGATTCCGGCCCCTGTGCCACTTCCTCAGTCCTCTGACAGGTTTCACTTCGGCATGTTCCTTGGGGACTTCCTGATGCTCCGCTCCGCGCTCCATGTTTTCTGGTTAGGCCTTCGTGGCGTGGTTCCTGCTGCCATCTCTCGGCACATTTATAAACCTGTTAAATTAGTTCAATATCTACTCACTAGTTGTCGATAGAAAATGACTCAGTGGTATGAAGCAGACACCAACAGTCGGACAATGGATTTCAAAGCGTGGGGCGCGCCTCCTGACAGGCGCGACTACTTTGTTGGGGGGATACTTGTGGAAAGTCATACGGTAAGACTGAATTGGCTATAATTGTCTTACTTCGTGTATTTGTAAAAACACGCATATTTTAATGAATAAAGAATTTTGAATGTGTAAAAGGTAAGGTAAAAATTAAAGTTGTCCTTGAACTTAACTAATTAAGCACTACGTCATGAAGACGTATGGGGGAGTGGATGAATAGATCCACATTTTCTTGACTTCGGCACTAGTTGGAGATGAGTTGCCAACTTCAGGCCCCAGCCGTTTTACCCCCGGGGAAACACCCTGCGGTACCCATTGGATAGGAGGTTGGGTAGACCCCAGATCCGGTATGAGATAGATCAAGAAGTAAAAATTCTTGAACCATACTGACTGCACCATCCTGACTCCTTAAATATGCTGATTTTAAGAATAAAAAATAAAATTAGGATTGCAGTCCATCGAATGCAACACCGTCTTTTAAGGAAAAGTAAAAACTGTTATGCTCTAGGATGCGGCAGTCGAGAGCAACTTCTGTTGCAAAAGTGCCCTTCTCTACATACACGCAAGAAAGGGGACGTGGTGATATCTTTACTAAGCTTTTTTTGGGGGGGGTGACCCAATTATATAAAATTTGTAAATTGATGCATTAAAGTATAATTTTAAATAAAAAGCGGCAATGTCAATACATGTTTATACCGTTTCTGGGACATCACACTTGTTTAAGGGATCAGGTAACCCCCATCCCAAAATTTTTTTACGTTTATATCTTCGCGCATAACTCGTCAACGAAGGATCAATACATAAGTCAGATTGGAAAATATCACAGGGGTGCCCCTAAAGACTGTTTGTTGTCTTCTGCGATATAACGCCTTATTATCCGGTAGGTTTCACCGAAGCTTTGGAGCTACTTTCAGTTTCCATCTTCATGGTTCCTCTGAAACGTCGGTAAATATCCACCGGACTACATGATACCTTATCCGATAAGTGAATAATTTTATACATATGACGGCAGTGATGCGCGAGAAATATTTTCGAAGCAATGTAACAGGAAATTTTCTAATTTTCCAGATATCTGTAGTTAACGTAACCTCTCTTTGTAACGCACTCTGTGTTCCTTAAGAGAGTACTAAACTAATAGAAGACTACATTTATGGTCGTTACCTAGAGCAGTACCTATTTGACACAGGGTTTATCTAAATAAATAATGTTGCCTTGGTACTGTACTCTTCGTAAATTTTAAATTTCAACCATATAACTTCTTTATCCTGTTCTCATTACGTGTTTTGAATTAAAAAGCTCAGTTTAATTAACAATTCTTTTTCGGCCTTCAACCAAAGAAAGGAAAACTCATGTAGAATCCTTATTAGACTTCATTACCACGCAACAAGACGCTCCACACTGAATAAAAACTTCGTGAATGTACAGTATAATACTTTATCTGTAGCTTACAACTAATAAAATGCTCTGCACTGTAATATTTGTACGATATACCTTCAGTAATTAAGTATAGGTATAAGAATCCTGTCTCTATTTCAAATTATCTACCTGTGTGTTCCTTCTTCTTCCCAGACGTATTCTTCCATGGGACCCATATTTCCTTTTTCTTTTATTCGCTTAGTGGGGGGGGGGGGGGAGTTCAGCTGGGTCCACTCGGCAAGTCGGCCACTGATTGGCCTATTGTGCCTCCCCGGGTGATTATGATAATGGAGAATTTGGTGGAATGAAGATTGGCAGGAGAAACCGAAGTACTCGGAAAAAAAACCTGCCCCGGCGTCACTTTGTCCACCATAATTCCCACATTACCGGACCCCGGGCTCAAACCCGGGCCACCGCGGCGGGAAGCCAGCAACTAAGTCTTTGAGCTATGGAGCGGCATTTTCGTATTTTCTTACTAATTTCATAACTATATTTCCCGCCATGCGCAGCTCTACAAGCATGTACTATTCCTCTCACGTCAGACAAAGTTGAAAAATTGGAGAAAGAGAAAATGTGGCCTATTTCAAAACACCAGCCCGGTAAACGAGTACTTCTGGAGGGGTTGAGAAAATCGTTAGAGGTCTGAGGCCAAATACTTGTGTTTCAAATCACATTCCCCTCCAATATCCATTACGTATAGAGTATACCAACAAAAACAAACTCCATGGCCTGTAGTCCGCAAGCGAACTATACCGACCGAGCGATCGCCGCTTGTCGGAGAAGTTAGTGTCAACTTTTGCGGATAGACGGTGTCACGTGGTCAGCGCAACGGATCCCCACAGTCGTCATATAGAGTAGGAGTATATGATTAATTTAAATTAAAAGTCGATGAAATAGTTAAACAAATGACAGAATTACAAGTACCGCATTTACCGGATAAAGACACGAGATGGTGTCTTATATTCACGAGTATAAACCTATGAAAACTTAACAAATTCTGAAAAAAGAACTACAGTTGAGTCAACGAAAGAATAATACAGATTTTCTTCCATTCATTTACCTAGCAGCTGTCTCCCTCGTCATGCCTCCCTCAACTACCGCCAGTTGCCACCGTCTGCAGGACCTGTATTGTAGGTTAGATTGTGCAGCATGCATCTAACTGAAACAATTTTTTTTCCTTGGCACTACAGCCCCAGTGGGCCTAGGCCTACCTCCATGAACTTCTCCCTTCACTTCGGTTTTTCTAGATCTTACACATTCGGCAGGACTCCTTGGGCGGGTGATTAGCTCGTCGCAAGGCCTCTACCCGTACACAAGCACAGAAAAACGCACACACACACACAAACTAAACATGTATGCCCTGAGTGGGATTCGAACCCACGATCCCGGTTTTCAAGCGAGCGAAGACAGTACATACCTTACACCGCTCGGCTGCCATGACCTGCGCAACAATTATTACCCTAGTCAAATCTTTCATTGACTCTACAGAAGTCTAGTCGTTGGAGTTTCATGCCGGTTGCTTCGAAACTTACACGCAGTTCATCCAATTATAGACTACTTTAGAGCCGTGTCTTCGCATTCCAGGGACGCTTCGAAGTAAAAAAAAAAGTAAAGCTATCCCTGTAACAGGCCGTGAAGGCTCATAGGTTTGTGAGACGTTGAGGGTCCCACATTACCTACATAGTCGGCTCAGAGATGGCGGTAAGGTTGTCAGCCCTACGCGCCGGCCGCGCTTTACTCCCTAGGAAAATTATTTAATTAATTTCTAGTACTCACTTCTGTTAGAGGCTGAGTCGACCCCAGGGCCATAGTGCGATTGGAAGGATTAGGTTAATTGATAAAAGTTCAATGACTTCCTCGGGACTTAAACCCGCGACCTACCGGCTTGTAGCATATTGCCTCAACCAACTACGCTACCGCGTGCCCCTCGAGGGGCAGTTACAATGAATATTGAATGTAAAAATAACAGGTTTTGTGTCCATTACGAGGTATTAGTTGTAATATGGGAGATACACAGTGTATGTAATACTACATAGATACACGGGAAGGAATGCGCTTTGGTACATGACCTTCCTGTCTGAGGTTCTGCATGGTGTTTGTCATTCCTCCAAATGTAAGCTGGGCTCGTATCGTCAAACAACCCATAGTCGCTTTCCACTTAATTCTTTCAATTTCCCCGAACTAGAACATCCTCTCACATAACTAGATATCGATAACTTCCACAGTGGATGCAGAACCAGTAAATAACCCTTGATTCTTCTAGGATCTTACACATCAGCTTCTCGATGTCAACATTATGTTCATGATTACAATAATCCTTGCAATAGACACAATTTTGTTCTAACAATGTGTAAGGTAAAGCTATCCATGTAACAGGCTTTGGAGGCCCATAGGGTTGTGAGACGCGGGGGCCCCAACATTTTTTAGACAATCGGTTAACAGATGGCGGTAAGGTTGTCAACCTTACTCGCCGGCCGCCGTTTAGCCCCAGGAAGTTTCCTGGTATTCATTTCTGTTAGAGGCTGAGTCAACCCCAGGGACATAGTGCGGCTGGAAGGATTAGGTCAATTGAAAGAAATCCCTCGCGAATCGAAACCGCGACCTTCCGGCATGTAGCATAGCGCCTCAATCAACTACGCTACCGCATGTCCCTTAACACCGTGTGATACTGCAATAAAACACATCTCGCTGGCACTGAAGAACATTAACCCTGTTCATACGTGGTACATTCTCCTGTGAGGTTTCGTAATACAATATATTCCTGCAACATAGAACTCCAACGTTATTCTTATTCGTGTTTGAAATCGAAGTAAGATAAATCATTTATATACGACAAAGTTATGTCCGTTTTCTCAGGAGGGCAAATAAAATTATTCTTAATGAAATCTATGATTGCTTTCTAATAGTATGAAAGGTGAACAATCGCCCTTTCTTTGAAGCTGATACGCGTCAGTCACATGATTGGAGGAAACAGAAGCCAAACCAAAATTCTAGATGAAATAACTGCCAGCAATTTGAAATACGCGCCGCTGATTCCAGTTGTTGAACTCTTAGGCAGACTGATTTCCTTTGGATGTTATTTTATTTGTGTTTTATTTTCATATGTTATTACAAATTGCAGAAGCCAAAGTAAAATTCAAGGCGAAATGAACAGAGAGAATTCGAAAGCAAAGATACCATTGTTTCGATTTATATGCTGAACAGAATAATATTTCTCTGAAAGTTATTTTGCATGTATTGTAACCTTAAAATTTTTTACAAATATATTCTAAAGTGACAGAAACTAAATGAACGCATAACTGCATTGGAATTTCCGCAACTGAAAAATTACAAACAAATTGGTTATTAGAACCTCTGTAAAGGTAAAATTGTCCCTGCGCTTAACTACTTAAAAACTACGCCACGAAGACGTGTGAGGGTGGATACAAATACACGTCACTGTTTGGAGCGGTCAGCTTCACGCCTCGGCCGTTTTACACATGAAAAGGCCACCGGTATCCATTGGATAGAAGGTTGTGTGGGTTGCAGAACCGGTCTGGACGATGAGGAGAGGTGAAAAATCTTGTCACTAACGGGACTCGAACTCCAACCCCTCGGCCGTCCAGCCCGTAGCCAGTCGCTATGCCTACCATGCCGACTGCTCTACCCAGGCTCTTACTAAAAGCCTCTGTCTTGAGTTAATTACATAAAATAAAAGTTTCGGGATGAAACAGAAGCTAAGGACTTGTGCTCAGTACTAGGTAAATGCATCTGTTCCAACAACGTCACAGCACTCAGCTTAGGCAGGTTTTCTCTTTATTCTTCCGCTGGAGTGAGACAGTCAATTTGAATATGAGCCGCAGGCGGACCTGCTGTACCAGACCATGTGATAGATGCAATGTTAGGACATTGGTGGAATAATAATCTCGAGCGAAAACTGGAGTACTCGGAGAAAAATGTATCCTAGTGCCACTACGTCCACCATACATCCATAGGATTAAACCCGGAACTGTGGGTAAGAGGCCAGAGACTAAAGCTAAGGGACAAGCAGCTTAGGGTTAGAATAAGTGTGTGATAGTCCCCCAATCTGAGGATACCAATTTTGAATCATTTCCATCCACTGGCTTTAAAGTTATTAGTTTGAATATACCAAAAATGAACCTGTTAGTTCATACACTGAGTTAAGATATTGTGAAATGGCACCTGGAAGCCGGAACAAATCGTCTGCTGCTATGTAACGGCTCGATAAAATGTATCCGCGGCAAACGGATACGCGCTCAATGACAGAAGAGATTCTTGGAAGCTGTGAGATGGTAGCCGGCCAGCACGAGAACAGAAAAATCCCCACTGTTTGGAACCGTAAGCCAGGAACGCCTGTTGAGGACACAGAAGACGTTATCTGTGAGCTGCTGTTACAGTGATCCGTAGAGTGCATAGATACGTGAAACGGTTAGAGTTACTTGCATTTACGAGTGGCAAGAGTCCAATAAATTAAATTACCAATCAAAACCACGTGTCTACTCATAAACATGTGAGACTTACAGTAATGTCGTACGTAGCAGGAAACATTAAGAAAAAAATAACAAATATATTTGATACAATGACGACAAGGGTAGAATAAACGTTCGGCTCGCTGCAGCTTTCATTTCCCGTGTGACACGCTTCAGTTCAATTGCTGACAGTATCCAACCAAACCTCTCTGTATCCTTCATTCTCATCGATCATACTATCTGCGGTCACCTGTCACCCAGGACAAGATACCAGACCCGTAGTTGGTCTTCGTTTTGCAATTTAGCATTTGTATTCGGCAGCAAGTTCTTCAGACACAGTGCACACAAACATTTATCTGTACATAGAGTACATAATGTATATAAAAGTATGGCAGTCTACACAACGATATTCTGTGCTTTAAAAATAAAGTAGACACTAATGTATCAACAAGGCCGCGCCATAGCTCAAGCGGTTAGTCGCTGGCTTCCCACCGCGGCGGCCCGTGTTCGATCCCAGGTCTGGTCAAGTGGAATTTGTGGTGGACAAAGTGGCGCTAAGGCAGGTTTTCTCCGAGTACTTCGGTTTCCCCTGCCAATCTTCATTCCATCAACTGCTCCACAATCACCCTCACCTATCATCTGGGCCTGGTACAATAGGCCAGAAGTGG